GATAAATTATAAATAATGTCACTAGAAATATGTAACCATGTTGAATAGATAAATGAACTGAGCCATTAAGATTGTTAACTATAAATAACTATTGAACTGTTGTATTAATGATCACTATTCAGTTATATAATATACCCTTGTAGGCCAGGGTAATTTTACATCGGTTTTCAGGCGAACCAGACACCGTCCAGACTTTCATGTGACAACCCAAACAGTACAGCACAAGCCCGTTTAACAGGAGAGCCAGACACTGTATAGGCTTTAACACTACAATCTGAACAGTACAGCTCAATCCTGTGGCGCAACCAAACAGGTACCAAGCACCCTGGTGGACCGAAAAAAACAAGTAAATGTTTAGTATAATAAATGATTATACTAAACATTCACTTGTTCTTTTTATCTTTCAATAGCTAATTTACGTACCTCATTGTGTTTCAAACAATGAACACGGGAATGAAACAAGTATCCATTCCCATAAATGGAAAATATACTTAAAAGGGATATGATTCATATATTACAAAGGTCATAGTTGAATCTTATATAAGCTTAGCGTATTTATTGAGTCCTATGTATAATATTACTTAAGAGAATGTAATGATATTTCATAAATAATTAAAACCCTTCTTTATTTATGGTAATTCGGCCCCCAAATGCCCTGGTACGGTCGAGAGTGGGGGGAGTCTGCTCTCGCTCTCCAAATGCTCTCACATAGCCACGCAAACACAACCTCTGCTAGGAAAGTTCTACTCACTGCCTTCTTGCACTAAGAGTGTTGTTCACGAAAATGAGAGGATGAAAAGCGAATGTCCGAAGCTTCAACCGGATCCTAAACCAATGGTGCACATGGACTTCAGTATCCTGAGGGAACAAATGGAGTATGAACCAATCGTTGGTCACCGGCTATCATAGGACTGAATCTCATTAAGTTGATCCACTGCCTTGTGGATTAGACCTTTAGGTCAATGGCTCCGGGTGTGGCCCCTTAAGAAAATCACCTGCTTCGGTTTGGGCAGCCGGGTAGTATTACAGCCCTCACACATATCAAATGAGATCTGTGTGGCGCATATGTATTTGGTGCCTCCTTGTATCAATATCTATGTGTTAAAATAAATAAATAAAATAAAGGCTGACGAGTCTAAAATAGGACGAAATGTGCATCCTAAATTCTTTTACTATCCACTATTCATCTTTGCTAATTCAAATCATTTTTTAATAATAGATTCATTTCAATAAATCAATAATTGTACTTTTTAAATGTGGATACATAAACGGTGCCAAATAACATTTCCATTTTTCTCCTTTTGGATGAGATTTACGACATGGTTTCGGTATTCTGGGATTCCAAAATCTTCCATTAACAAAAAATAAATAAACAAATGTAACATAAATATTCATATACACGAATAGAGAATGTATAATCTTATAAAAACAATACTAATAGATTATGTAATGAAAGAGAAGGATGTTCATACAGTCATTGATACTTTTCTTAGATGAATTTATTATGAAGTTATGGAAACAGGTATCTACCTCAGTATAATGGAAGATGATAGCACAATTTCATGGATTAGTTGAAGTTAGACATGAACACCGTTTTATGCCAGCTCAGTGGTCTAAAGGTTAGACGTTCGCGCACAAGACTGAAGATCCTGGATTTGAATCCCGCTTGTGAGATCGTGAATGTGTAATGCTAAGGAATCGTACAATAGAATAAAACGACCACCCAGTGCTTCCAGGTTTTCAATGACGGTTCAACATCAATCCATTCATGATGTCAATCAATTATTTATTCAGCTTTAACTAAATATGAGGCTTAGAATGTACTTTGGTAAAGTGATAACTTATAAATCATCCATTTCTTATGACTGTATTGTTCTATTCTAGAAAAATTGTCAAATTAATAACTTCACCGTTGTCAAATTGAGTAAGAAATTACTAATCATGATAATGTTCTGTTCAATAAATAGAAGAATAGAGTTCATTAAAATCTAAATTGACTAAATTAAGAATATATCAATTTAATTTATCCATGATTGGTCCATGATGTGGGTGTGGGTTCGAATCCTATCTCCGACACATACTTTGCCCCCAAATCCTCTGGTTCGTCTGAGGGTGGAGGGAGGAGTTAGCCCTCCCTCTAGAAATGCCCTCACATGGCCACGTTCATACAATCACTGACAGGGAAGTCCTACTCACTGCCTTCTCGCGGCATTACTGTTGTTTACGAAATTGAGTGGATGAAAATCGAACGTCCGGCATTTTAAGCGGGTTGGTAGATACGGAAAATCCACCTAGGGTAGTTGGAAAACCTTGAGTCCAAACCAACGGTGCACATTGGCTCCAGAATTCTGAGGGAACAAATGGTGTATAAACCAATTGTTGATCACTGGCTATTATGGGACTTCATTTTCTTAGGTTACTCCCCTACCTTATGGATCAGACGTTTATGTCAAAGGCTCGAGATGTAGCCTTCTAAGAAAACCACCTGTTTCGGTTTGGGCACCTGGTCAGTATCACAACCCTCACATACATCTATTTGATACCTTCTTGTACTAATGTTTATGTGTTTAAATAAATAAATAAATCTTCTAATAATCATTACTTT